TGTGTGTGTGTGTGTGTGTGTGTGTGTGTGTGTGTGTGTACCTTAGAGAGGAAAGGCCGACACTAATGGCAAGGAAGAGGAAAGGGAAACCAATATGGTGAAAACAAATAAAAAATACTGACGAAGGTAAAAAACGAGAAAAAACTGATAAGTGAAAGGGGTGAAGATGGGTGTGCACCAAATGACCTTTGTCGCACCGCCAAATCGTGGCAATCGTGAACAGGACTGCAGACACAGCTGAGCAATGTGGACACCCACCTATCGTCCTCAGCAGCCGGTAGGCGATGTGACGAAAAGCGGCGTGCCACGCTGATAGCCAACCAACCCTCTGTCACTCTCTCTCTCTCTCTCTCTCTCTCTCTCTCTCTCTCTCTCTCTCTCTCTCTCTCTCTCTCTCTAAGGGGATTAGCAGTGGCCTAGCGCATGATAGCAGCAGGGGGAATGCTTGCCTCCTCGTCACCCCCCGTCTCTCATCGTAAGTCTGGCTGGAGTATGGTTCGTGCGGTGGGGGAAGTTGAAGATTGGTCTTGCATCCTGAAGAATGTGGCTGGAGGGACTGTGTTAGAGCAGAGCAGCGAAGGAGATGATGGCTCTTTCGTTGTCAGTTTTGCTGGAGGGAGGCTGTCGGGTTGTTCTGTTGGGGATGGATCAGAGGAGCTCTTTGCTCTTTAATTATTTTGTGCTTGATAATCGTTTGGTTATTTCCTTGCAATTTTTTAATATTTTTCCCCCTTTTTTTTCAGCTCTTGATGACAGTTGTTGGCAAAGTAGGGACGATGGACCCCGGGCGCACCTCCAGTTGAACCAGGGTAACAACCCCAATAATAGCCAAAAAAAATATACCTGGGTAGAATGGTGAGGGTCCCGGGCTGGAGCAGATTTTGAGTAATACACAAAGTCTGTTTTCAAAAAATAAAAAGAGAAAGAACGACACGTTCCGGGCTGGAGCGGATTTTGAGTAATACACAAGTCTGTTTTCAAAAAATAAAAAGAGAAAGAATGGCACGTAGGAATAGATAAATGGTCTAGCAAGGTTTATCCCGCTTTTTGGGACTATCCTAGCGAGTGGAAGGTGGAGCGGCAAGGGAAACGGGAAGGGGGTTGGGAGCGGGAGAAGGACCACGAGGAGAAACGGGAAGGGGCAGAGGAGGCGCGGGAGGAGGGGTGGTAGAAGGAGCGGGAGGGAGAACGGGCAGGGGGTTAACGAACGCGCGGGAGGCGGAGGAGGGGGAGGAGATGTAGGTGGAGAAGAAGAAGCGAGAGGAGCACGTTTCCAGCCATGCACGCAGAGAGAGAGAGAGAGAGAGAGAGAGAGAGAGAGAGAGAGAGAGAGAGAGAGAGAGAGAGAGAGAGAGAGAGAG